CCCCGTGTTGTCGTCCGTTGGCGAGTCGTCGAGGTCGCGGTCGGGCGCGCCGGGCCGCCGGGGCCCGGGTCGAGGACCTCCACCGCCACTGGGGGCCCAGGGCCCAGCACAGCGAGCAGATGGAGTTGGAGCTGAGCAGTCTCATGTTGCCTCAGAACTGGCGGCTTTCGTTCTGGTTCATGGTTCTCATTGCTGAGACTTTAAAAGCAACCAGCTTTGTTGTGGTACAATTAACTCACAATAAAACCCACCCACTGCCAGGGTGCAGGTGGTGAGTTGGATGATGTCTACACAACACGAACACCTGATCATGATCGGAACCTCCGCCCCGAGTCCCTCCTGTGCCCCCTTCGTCACCCACCTGCCCCTCGGCCGTGTTGGTCCCTGAGGATCCATTTGCCCATCCAGCTCCACGTGTTGCACACCAGCCTCGAACACGGCCAAAGGGGAGGGGGTAGGGAAGATGGAGGCGTCTGCCCGGAGCGGACCCAGGGACACCTCACAAAAAGCCACTTCGCACAGACTGAGTGTACTGAAAACAGCAGTCTGCTCGCCATCAAAACCATCATCCTCAACAAAACTCTTCTCTCTGAGGTACTTTCTGCTCACACAGACTTGGCCTGAGGAGACACTCACAGCATAGCCCTCACTTCCGAGGACGCCAAGGTGCTGGGCCTCCAGCCTCAGGATGCATGTGTGGCTGGCGGGGCAGGGCGGGCTCAGTGGGTCACAGCTGGCAACCGGGGCCCCAGAGCTTCCTTCTGGCGGGAAAATTGCAGCCTTCAGGTGCCCTCAGCTGGTGGAAACCACGAGGGCTGAAGAGAACCCTCATTGATTTCTTTAGGAACCTGAGTTCTGGGAGTGGACCCTCAGGGCACATCCCCAACTCTCCGCCTCTCGAGGGTGTTTCCGGGCCTCAGCCTTGCTGGTGACACACTATCTAATTCCGAGTGTAGGAGGTGGGTACTTACTAGTCCCCATTTGACTTGCTGAGCCCGTGGAGGCTCAGAGAGGTCAAGTGACTCGCCTGAGGTCACACAGACAGAGGCAGCAGAGCTGGGGCCCCAACCCAGCTGGGCTCCTCTTCTGTCATGCTCCTCAGCCCGGGCCCAGGGGTCCTGGGAGCACAGGCAGAGAGAGGCTGGAGGTAGCTGGAGTGGGGAAGTCGGTTCAACGTGGACTTGGTTTCCTGTAACTTCTGCAGACCCATGAGAGCTGGACAACCCTCTCTGAGGCCAGG